GTGTCCTGTAAGCAGGAAGGGGGTAGAAGTGCCTGGCAGGCAGGAAGGGGGTAGAAGTGTCCGGTAAGCAGGAAGGGGGTAGAAGTGCCCGGTAAGCAGGAAGGGGGTAGAAGTGCCCGGTAGGCAGGAAGGGGGTAGAAGTGCCTGGCAGGCAGGCAGGGAGGGGGTAGAAGTGCCCGGTAGGCGGGAAGGGGGTAGAAGTGCCGGTAGGCAGGAAGGGGGTAGAAGTGCCTGGCAGGCAGGAAGGGGGTAGAAGTGTCCGGTAAGCAGGAAGGGGGTAGAAGTGCCCGGTAGGCGGGAAGGGGGTAGAAGTGTCCGGTAAGCAGGAAGGGGGTAGAAGTGTCCGGTAGGCGGGAAGGGGGTAGAAGTGCCCGGCAGGCGGGAAGGGGGTAGAAGTGTCTGGTAGGCGGGAGGGGGGGTAGAAGTGCCCGGTAGGCGGGAGGGGGTAGAAGTGCCCCGGCAGGCGGGAGGGGGGTAGAAGTGCCCGGCAGGCGGGAGGGGGGTAGAAGTGCCCGGCAGGCGGGAGGGGGGTAGAAGTGCCCGGCAGGCGGGAGGGGGGTAGAAGTGCCCGGCAGGCGGGAGGGGGGTAGAAGTGCCCGGCAGGCGGGAGGGGGTAGAAGTGCCCGGCAGGCGGGAAGGGGGTAGAAGTGCCCGGCAGGCGGGGAGGGGGGTAGAAGTGCCCGGCAGGCGGGGAGGGGGTAGAAGTGCCCAGCAGGCGGGAAGGGGGTAGAAGTGCCCGGCAGGCGGGAAGGGGGTAGAAGTGTCTGGCTGGGGAAAGCGATGCTTTTACACATCATTTCTGGGTCATCAGCTGGAAGGGAAGGGCATTGAATGAGCATTCACTCATCTCCCTCTCCTCTTCCCAGCAGTACCAGCTATGCTGGTCCCGGATCAGCAGGTGGGTGCACAGAGCCCAGGAAACATTGGGGGGTCCTGACAGTAAACGAGGAGGGGGTCCAATACATGTCTACATCCTCCATACCTGGCTGATCCCTGTTGAAGCTGAAGATCGATGTAGTTGCCACCACTACTATAGTGATCCTTGCTAGCTTCCGGATCCTGCGCCAAGTGGCTGCTGCTGCATAGTGAGCACGGGAGGCGGATCACACGGCACCAGTACCATTCAGAGAACACTTTGTGCCTGTCAGTGGCACTGCTTATCAGTGGCACTGAATGGGCACCACTGAACGGGCACTGATAGGCACACACTGCACTGGGCACTGAGACTGAGGCACTGACACCACTGAATGAGCACCACTGACGGGCACTGACAGGCACCACTGAATGAGCACCACTGACGGGCACTGACAGGCACCACTGATGGGCAGCACTGACGGGCACTGACAGGCACCACTGATGGGCAGCACTGACGGGCACTGACAGGCACCACTGATGGGCAGCACTGACGGGCACTGAACGGGCATTGATAGGCACCACTGATGGGCAGCACTGACAGGCACCACTGAATTAGCACCACTGACGGGCACTGACAGGCACCACTGAATGAGCACCACTGACGGGCACTGACAGGCACCACTGAATGAGCACCACTGACGGGCACTGACAGGCACCACTGATGGGCAGCACTGACGGGCACTGACAGGCACCACTGATGGGCAGCACTGACGGGCACTGACAGGCACCACTGACGGGCACTGAACGGGCATTGATAGGCACCACTGATGGGCAGCACTGACAGGCACCACTGATAGGCAGCACTGGTGGCTCTGAGGAAGAGGTTGTGTCCTCGAAATGCGTTAGTTGGTCATCCAGAGTTCCATTGTATGGACTCAGATGTTGTGTGGATCATACATCCTGTTCAGTCTGACATGCCTGTGTTTTTATGTCTATTGTAAGTATGATACTTACTTTGTTTCTTCAATAAATATTTTAAACAATAATGCACTGGGCCGGGGCGCCCTTTTCCTGTTTCTCCATTTGCATCCAGTGTATTTGGACCACCCCGGTCTGTTGAGGACAGCAAGCAGTGCATATTCCAGAAAATTCCAGAACATTCCTATTGGGTCTACTGAGTCCTTTCCTAGCGCAGGAGAAAAGTGTTTGTTGTTGAGGCGGCACTGACAGGCGGCACTGACAGCTGCACTACTAATCACGGCACTGATATGATTGCTTTGATTATCAGTGTGAATGTCTCCTGTCAGGATCTCTGGTTATCAGCTTCCCTTTTCTCACACTGTGACGGCACTAAGGAAAGGAAATGCCGGTGTCCAGCATTTATTTACATGTGATCAGCTGTGATTGATCTGTGATTTGCTGCAATCTGTGATCAGACACAGCAATCACATTGCGGGGGGGGGTTCTGGGAGGTCGTCAATCTGGGAGACAGACACCCCTTCCCCCCCCCCCCCCGAACTGGAGGAAAGATGTCTGCAGCACAGACAGCTGACACAATCCCAGGCGCCAGGATACAAGTTCTAGTCACCGCGGCGCCCTGGATCCTGGGATCAAATACTTCAATGAATTCCTTTTTATAAAGTGACGATTTTCTGTTTTATTTCCAGTGTTAATCCAGCGTCCCTTTAAAGCGATGGAGAAGAACGCCGAGGTCCTGCGCATCATGCAGTGTTTCTCCCGCATTGAGGAAGGGGACGATCCAGGTGAGTAGCTGGGCTGATCCTCGTCTGCAGTCACTACTCACCTCCAATAATAGGACAAATAATAGAAAAATAAAATTTCTCGTTGCCTTTAGCTGCCAGCGATATTTTGTGGTTGAAGAGACCCCGACACCACCTTAGCCGTTCAGGGCAAAGTGACAGGGCCTCTTTAACCCCCCCTGGCGGTATTCCTGAGTGTAGCTCGGGGGTAAAGTTTCAGCAACACAATCTGTAACCCCTCCACCCCCCCCCCACCCCCCCGAGCTACACTCGGGAATACACTGCAGCGTTGCTCCGGGATCTCTCCAGCACTTACCTTGTCCTGCGCTCCTGCGATGTCCCCCCTGCAGTGTCCCCTGTAATGTCCTCCGGCCGATGCCGGCATCTGTCTTCCGGGTTCCGTTCCCTGCGACGTCGGGACGTACGGGGGATGGAACTGGCGGGAAATTTGAAAATGTAAAAATTTTACATACACATAATACACTAGAATCACATAATATAACATTCCTGTATCAAACCATTTCACATACATTGTGTCCCGAGTGCTTTGTCCGGCGCCCTGCCTGCATTTTTACTGTTCTTTCTGCCTGGAAACTGAGAAACGTCCATGGCGTCCAAAAAGCGTCCCTTTAGGTCAGACGCGGTTTTAGACCGGCTAGAGAACAGCGATAGGAAAATCAGAACCACTTGCAGAATTGAGTGATAATGATTGGTGGGGGAAATTCCTCATCAGACACTGAAAACGATTCTGCGACTGAGCTCAGCGATGGGCCAACTTGGCGCTCTATTTCACATTTCAGTGTTTTTGGTTTGATTATATTATTGAATTACATTTATTATTATATTAATTTTTATGATTATTAAATTATAATTTATGATTTCGTGTTTCAAATTGTAACATCCCCGGGATGTTTACTAGACTCTTGTCCGGACAGATTTCAGGGAGTTATTCCTAAAAATTACAGTCCGACAATAAAAAAACAACATATTTCCATGCAAAAAATGTACCGCTTTGAGCACAGAAATACTGACATCATCAGACCGCTAGGGAGGTTAATGCCTTTTACACAATTCTCATCACCTAAAGTAGAATTCCAGCTGAACACGAACAAGTATTAAAATGTTCCGTCTCCCTTCCTGTCCCCTATAGCTGGTCATACGTGGATAGAAAATCAAAAATCGAGTCAGTGGACCAGTTTTTAGTTTTCATGTGGCTAGTGTGTGTATCGGGACACTCAATTTCTGTTTCAGATCAAAAGTTTGCAATTTTTTTTTTTTTTTTTTTTTAAATGAACGATTTTCTAATGGTTTGTAGATCATTTGTTTAAAAAAAAAAAACATATAAGTGAAATGCACATAAGCAGTAGAGGTAGTAGTAGAAATCAGTTAACCCCTCCCCCCCCCCCCCCCCCCGAGGTTTTACCCCCCTTCCTGATTATTTTTTTGCGATACGTCGCTGCGTTACTTTGACCCCATGCCGTCCACCTGTTGTTTAAATGAACGGTGGCACTCCAGGGACGGGCTTGCCGTTCAGAAATGGCACCCGCCTTTTCTAGCTGTGCGCGCTCCCTGGGAGCACGCAGCACCGCGATCCTGGTGCCCGCTGTGTCCTCCGGACACAGTGAAACACTGATCGTCAGACGGGACCTCTGTACGAGGTCCCGATCATGTGATCACTGATTGGCCAATCACTGATCACATGCAAAGTAGTAAGCAAGATGTCACTTGTGACATCATTGCTTACTACGTGTGAAATCTGTGAATGATCACAGAGGTCACATGGTACAGGGCCATTCACAATAGCCTTGCTCCATGTGACAAGTTGTGACCAATCACAGCTCACTCAGTATTTCTCAATGACTGCAAGAATGCAGACAGAGAGAGAAGGAGAAATGATTGCTTTTACATCCTATATGGGTGTAAAAGCAATCGGTGTAAAAAAAAAAAAAAAAAAAAAATTCTTCATCACCCCCCACAAGTAGTACAGTGTCACCATGGTGACACTACTGCTAGGGTGACAGTATGTAAATAAATAAATAATAATATAAAAATGTAAAAAAAAATGTTTAAAATTTATAATTTTTGGTTATAAACTAATTTGGATTTTTTTTTTACTAAAAAAATAACGGAATAAATATTGGCCAAGATTTATGATGAAATGTTATTTATTTGCAAAATTTTATTAAACACTTTTTTTCAACATTTTTGGACTTTTTCATTTACATAGTAAAAAAAAAAAAAAATCCCAGCGGTGAATAAATACCACCAAAATAAAGCTTTATCTGTCTCAAAAAAAATGGTAAAAAATTCTTATGGGTACAGTGTTGCATGATGACCGCGCAATTGTCATTCAAAGTGTGATAGCGCTGAAAGCTGAAAATTGCCCTGGACTGGAAGGGGGGGAAAGTGTCCGGACTGGAAGGGGGGGAAAGCGTCCGGACTGGAAGGGGGGGAAAGCGTCCGGACTGGAAGGGGGGAAAGCGTCCGGACTGGAAGGGGATGAAAGTGTCCGGACTGGAAGGGGGGAAAGTGTCCGGACTGGAAGTAGGGGGGGGGAAAGTGTCCGGACTGGAAGGGGGGGAAAGTGTCCGGACTGGAAGGGGGTTGAAAGTGTCCGGACTGGAAGGGGGGGAAAGCGTCCGGACTGGAAGGGGGGAAAGTGTCCAGACTGAGAAGGGGGGTCCGGACTGGAAGGGGGGGAAAGTGTCTGGACAGGAAGTGGTTAACAGACAATTGCACAGTTATGCAACGTTGCACCCAAATGAAATTTACGTCCTTTTTTTTCCCCATGAAATTGAGCTTTTTCTTTCAGTGGTATTTTTGCTCACCTGTGCAGTTTTTATTTTTTGAGCTATAGAAGAAAAAAAATAGACCGACAATTTTGAGAAAAACAATATTTTTAAGATTTTGCTACTAAATATGTCCAGCAAAAAAATTTTAAAAATCAAATTTCGTCATAAATTTAGGCCAAAATGTATCCCGCTCCGTGTCCCAAATCCTGATCTGACTAAATTAATTGGTTTACATGAAAGTTATAGCGTTTACAAACGGCGGTATAGAGACTGGGATTTGTCTTTTTTTTTTTTTTTTCCTATTAATTTTTCCTAGTAATGGCGGTGATCAGCAACTTCTAGTGAGACTGCGGCGGGCATTCTAACACTGGGATGGGGGGGAGGGAACTGACTTGGTGTCACTGACATCCCCAGTGACACCAATACAATGATCAGTGCTAATAAAAAGCACTAACACTGCACTGGGGGGGGGGGGGGGGCAAGGTGATCCAGACAGAAGTGGGACCAGGTATCTATTCTGATATAAATGAAAAAAAAAAGAAATCTCAAAGAGTGTTAGAGGAGGGGGGGAGGGGAGGTTCCGCTTTCATAGAAGCAGTTTCCATTTATTCTCAGACTCCTGCTAATTTGTGACACCTCGGAGGGTGGTGTCGTTTCTTGTACTCAGACTGTCTTCCTTCCCGTTCCGCAGACTGCGTCTTTGATCAGGAAAGTAACGAGACGCCCCTGGAATCGGCTGTGGAGGTTCTTAATCTGGTGAGCGGTGAGATGACGCTGGATGGAGACGCAATGAAGAGCAATGTGCAGATGGTGAAAAAGAGGCGGTGAGTGTGGCGACCTTCACATGGAGATTACATGGAAGGGGCTGCTTGTGACATTTATGGAATACATATGAGCAGCACATGTAATGCTGGACTCCAGGCACGGCAAAAGTAGACAATAAAACTGCAGCCCTGTATTCATTCTTAGAACATTAACCCCTTGCCCTCCCGCTCTATAGTAGAAGTACTGCTGCAGGGCTGCACAAAATCATGTGTGTGTATATATTATATATATGTGGTTTGCATTTGCCCTACCCACGCCGCTATTGGTTGCTAGAGATGTCAATCCCCAGGGTCCCCGCCCGGCACTCGGCCATCATCGGGGAAAGCAGACAGGAGAGACCTGTGTGTAAACACAGATCTCTCTCCTGCCAGCAAGGTCATGCTGCTTTGTATTGCTCTGTACAGAATGTCTCCCTAGTAACACAGTTAACCCTTTGATCGCCCCAGATTGTAACCCCTCCCTTCCCACTGCCATTAGTACAGTGTCAGTGCTTTTTTTTTTTTTTTTTTTTTTTTTTTTATTGCAGCACTGATCACTGTATTGGTGTCACTGGGGATGTCAGTGACACCAAGTCAGTCACCAGGTCACCCCCCCCCCCCCCCCCCAGTGTCAGAATGTCCGCCGCAGTCCCCACTATAAGTCGCTGATCGCCGTCATTACTACTATAAATGAAATAAAAAAATCCCCGTATCTATCCCGCCATTTTTTAGACGCTATAATTTTCACGTAAAACCGATTCGTTTACACGTATCGGGAATTTTTTTTTCAGGCGAAGACACGGAGCGGAATACAGTTTGGCCAAAATTTATGCCAAATTTTTTTTTATTTTATTTTATTGGATATGTTTTATAGCAAAAAGTAAAAAATATTTTTATTTTTTAAATTTTTCAAAATTGTCAGTCTTTTTTTGTTTATAGCTCAAAAAGCCGAAAGACCGCTACAGCGCAGTTGTCCAGTCATGTGACATCCTCCCAGAATGCACCCTCCCGCATGCAGCCGGCGCTGTCCGCAATCGCTTTGTCTTACGGACACAGCTGATCACATGAGGTAAAATGCCAATGACAGCAACCTTTTACCATGTGATCAGCTTTATCCAATGACACAGCAGATCACCAAGTAATTACAGTTGCCGGTTATCGGCTGCACTTTCCACTTTCACGCTGTCACAGGGTGAGGAAAGTACTGCTGATAACTGGCAAATGTCACAGAGGACATCTGCACTGACACTGATGATCAGTGCCGCCCAGCACTTGTGCCAGTCAGTGCCGCGTAGCAATTTTACCTATCCGTGCCCATCAGTGATGCCTATCCATGCCACCCTCATCAGTGCCCATCAGTTCTGCTTATCTGTGCCACCTCATCAGTGCCCATCAGTGATGCCTATCTGTGCCACCTTATCAATGCCGCGTATCCGTGCCACTTGTTTTTTTTCAAATTTTTTTTTTTTTTTTTTTTTTTCAATTTGTAGTGCAAAAAATAAAACACCCAGTGGCGATTAAATACCACCAAAAAAAAAGCTCTATTTGTGTGAAAAAAATGTCATATGGGTACAGTGTTGCATGACGGTGCAATTGTCATTCAGAGTGTGAGAGTGCTGAAAGCTAAAAATTGCCTGGGCAGGAAGGGGGGGACAGTGCCCGGTGGGCAGGAAGGGGGGACAGTACCCGGTATGCAGGAAGGGGGTGGCAGTGCCCGGTAGGCAAGAAGGGGGTGACAGTGTCTGGCGGGCAGGAAGGAGGGAGGGACAGTGCCCGGTGGGCAGGGAGGGACAGTGCTCGGCAGGTAGGAACAGGGTGGCAGTGCCCGGTGGGCAAGAAGGGGGTAGAATTGCCCGGTAGGCAGGAAGGGGGGGGACAGTGCCTGGTGGGAAGAAAGGGGGTAGAAGTGCCCGGTAGGCAGAAGGGGGGGTAGAAGTGCCCGGTAGGCAGGGAGGGAAGGGGGTAGAAATGCTCGGCAGGCAGGAATGGGGTAGAAGTGCCCGGCAGGCAGGAAGGGGGTAGAAGTGCCCGGCGGGCAGGAATGGGGGGGGTGGCAGTGCCCGGCGGGCAGTAGGAAGGGGGTGGCAGTGCCCGGCGGCAGGAAGGGGGTGGCAGTGCCCGCGGGTAGAAGGGGGGTGGCAGTGCCCGGCGGGCAGGAAGGGGGTGGCAGTGGCCCGGCGGGCAGGAAGGGGGTGGCAGTGCCCAGCGGGCAGGAAGGGGGTGGCAGTGCCCAGCGGGCAGGAAGGGGGTGGCAGTGCCCCAGTAGGCGAGGGATTAAAGGTATATTAACAGACCAGAAGGGAGCAGATCGGAGGTGGTGGTTGGGGGTTCCATGCAGGTAAACACGGTTATGAATCGGTCAGAACTGCGACAGACTAACCTTCCCGTGTCTCCTCTGCAGGCTGTGGTCGCATGTATAAAAAAGAAGCAGTTTAATAAAGCCAGCAACATCCTGAAGAAATACATTGCAGCCAGCAATGACACCAAGGTGAGCAGTGTGACTAATATATATGGCCAGAAATATTGGCACCCCTTCTGTCATTTTATGTGACAGAAATACAGGGGTGCCGATATATTTGGCCATGGCTGCATATATATATTATTGTGCTGTCTTGTCATGAGGCCCGAATCCCACTAGGAGCTCTGCAGCCACTACACGTCTCTGCTTCCTCTAGATTAACTTCATGCTGGGGCCACATACAGCGCCTTGAAAAAGTATTCCTCCCCCCTGAAATGTCCCCCACGTTATGTTACAATGTATTCCCCCCTCCCCCCCTGAAATGTCCCCCATGTTGTCATGTTACAATGTATTCCCCCACCCCCCCCCCTGAAATGTCCCCCATGTTGTCATGTTACAATGTATTCCCCCCTCCCCCCTAAAATGTCCCCCATGTTGTCATGTTACAATGTATATCCCCCCCCCCCCCCGAAATGTCCCCCATGTTGTCATGTTACAATGTATTCCCCCTCCCCCCCTAAAATGTCCCCCATGTTGTCATGTTACAATGTATCCCCCCCCCCCCCCCCCCCCCCCCCGAAATGTCCCCCATGTTGTCATGTTACAATGTATTCCCCCTCCCCCCTGAAATGTCCCCCATGTTGTCATGTTACAATGTATCCCCCCCCCTCCCCCCTGAAATGTCCCCCATGTGTCATGTTACAATGTATTCCCCCCCCCCCCCCCCCTGAAATGTCCCCCATGTTGTCATGTTACAATGTATTCCCCCTCCCCCCTGAAATGTCCCCCATGTTGTCATGTTACAATGTATTCCCCCCCTCCCCCCTGAAATGCCCCCCATGTTGTCATGTTACAATGTACCCCATGTTGTCATGTTACAATGTATTCCCCCCCCCTGAAATGTCCCCCATGTTGTCATGTTACAAATGTATTCCCCCCTCCCCCCTGAAATGTCCCCCATGTTGTCATGTTTACAATGTATTCGACCCCCCCCCCCCCTGAAATGTCCCCCCATGTTGTCATGTTACAATGTATTCCCCCCCCCCCCCTCCATGAAATGTCCCCCATGTTGTCATTGTTACAATGTATCCCCCCCCCCTGAAATGTCCCCTATGTTGTCATGTTACAATGTATTCCCCCCCCCCCTAAAATGTCCCCATGTTTGTCATGTTACAATGTATCCCCCCCCCCCCCCCCCCCCGAAATGTCCCCCATGTTGTCATGTTACAATGTATTCCCCCCCCCCTGACCCCCCCCCCCCATGTTGTCATGTTACAATGTTTCCCCCCCCCCCCCCCCCAAAATGTCCCCCCCAAAATGTCCCCCATGGTTTTGTCATGTTTACAATGTATTCCCCCCCTCCCCCCCAAATGTCCCCCATGTTGTCATGGTACAATGTATTCCCCCCCCCCAAAAAAAAATGTCCCCCATTGTTGTCATGTTACAATGTTTCGCCTTCAGCATGAGAAGGGTCAGCAATGTGCCGCCCTGGTCTTCTCCAACACCCGAGAGATCACACCTCATCCGTCCCCTGGGTGGTTGACATGACCTATGCTCCTCCCCTCTCTCTGCAGATTATCACACCACCCTTGTCTGCAGATTGTCTGCACTACATTTCCCCGACTCCCGACTGACAGGAGTGAATGAGGCGGGAGGAGGAGGAGATCGTCACTTCAGGGACGTATTATACCGCAGTCCCCATGGGGAGGAATGTGCAGCACAGAAGGAGCGTTGATGACCCCTGTACAGGACACAATCTGCTGCTAGTTCTCATTTTACGGCCCCAGGTTGTGACTTTGATTCATCTTAAAGGATAAGTACACTTTTAATGACACAACCTCCCCCCAACAATCGGTTACAGTGGAACGCCGAAAACGGGGTGTGCAGCTAGACCTCAATAGCCAGGCACAAAAATATTACCCCCCCCCCCCCCAGCATTTTGTCAGATAACGCACCACATAGGTCGCACAGAAACATTGCTGCAATGGCAAATGTTTCGGCAAATAGTTCATTTTTATTACAGATTATATAATGCAGATCCAATGAGGGACAAATGAGGAGGAAGGAGGACAGGGGGACTTGGGTGTTTATGTAAACCAGGACAGTCCCTCGAAATCAGGGTATTGACAGTCCCTCCGGAAATCAGGACAGTTAGGTGAGCTATGGGTAAGGGCTTGCGCTATGCAAAACCATCATACTCAGTTAGGTAAGTAATAAGCTGCTGTATGTACAGTGCCTTGAGAATGTCTTCACCCCCTGAAATGTCCCCCATGTTGTCTTCTCTTACAATGTATTTCCCCCCCCCCGAAATGTCCCCCATGTTGTCTTGTTACAATGTATTCCCCCTCCCCCCGAAATGTCCCCCCATGTTGTCATGTTACAATGTATTCCCCCCCCCCCGAAAATGTCCCCCATGTTGTCATGTTTACAATGTATTCCCCCCCCCCGTGAAATGTCCCCCCATGTTGTCATTGTTACAATGTATTCCCCCTCCCCCCCTGAAATGTCCCCCATGTTGTCATGTTACAATGTATCCCCCCCCCCCCCCCCCCCCCCCGAAATGTCCCCCATGTTGTCATGTTACAATGTATACCCCCCCCCCCCCCCCCCCCCGAAATGTCCCCCATGTTGTCATGTTACAATGTATCCCCCCCTCCCCCCTGAAATGTCCCCCATGTTGCCATGTTACAATGTATTTCCCCCCCTGAAATGTCCCCCATGTTGTCATGTTACAATGTTATCCCCCTCCCCCCTGAAATGTCCCCCCATGTTGTCATGTTACAATGTATTCCCCCTCCCCCCGAAAATGTCCCCCATGTTGTCATGTTACATTGTATTCCCCCCCCCCCCCCCTGAAATGTCCCCCATGTTGTCTTGTTACAATGTATCCCCCCCCCCCCCTGAAATGTCCCCCATGTTGTCATGTTACAATGTATCCCCCCCCCCCCTGAAATGTCCCCCATGTTGTCATGTTACAATGTATTCCCCCCCCCCCCCTGAAATGTCCCCCCATGTTGTCATGTTACAATGTATTCCCCCCCCCTGAAATGTCCCCCCATGTTGTCATGTTACAATGTATTCCCTCCCCCCCCTGAAATGTCCCCCATGTTGTCATGTTACAATGTATTCCCCCCCCCCCTGAAATGTCCCCCATGTTGTCATGTTACAATGTATTTCCCCCCCCCCCCCGAAATGTCCCCCATGTTGTCATGTTACAATGTATTCCCCCCCCCTGAAATGTCCCCCATGTTGTCATGTTACAATGTATTCCCCCCCCCCCTGAAATGTCCCCCACTGTTGTCATGTTACAATGTATCAACCCCCCCCTGAAATGTCCCCCCTCCCCCATGTTGTCGGGTATGGAATGTTGTTCCCGGTTTTCTCATGTTAACACGATGTTCTCCCCCCCCCACCGGGACAGACCCTGCGGTAAATGTTCCCCATGGTTGTCATGTAGACAGTTTGTGATTGGTGACCTCCCCCCTGCTAAAATGTCCCCCATGTTTCATGCCTTCAATGTATCCCCCCCCCCCCCTGTAAATGTCCCCCATCGCTTGTAATAGGGGTTACAACGCTATTCCCCCATCGGCCGAAATGGGGATATCGGCAGACAGGAAAAAAAAGGTGCCGATAATCCCCCCCCCCCCTGGAAATGCTGATGCTGGTGTGTTTTTGTGTTTTTGTTTTGTTTTTCATAACACGTCATACCGTCATACCCGCTCTGTATAATGGCTTTGCACCGTGCAGCCCTAATCCTCCTCTTCTGGAGCCCCTCGCCGGCACTCCTCCTTCCACGTTCCCCCCCTTCTCTCTTCAGCAAGCCACTTGCTAAGGGGGTACTTCTGTGAGGTCGCTCCCGAGCCCCGCTGCTATCAATCAGCCCCCGCTGCTCCTCGTGTACATCGCCGGCTCCAGATCGGGCTCGGGTAAGTATGAGGGGGGAGGGGATCCTGCAGCCCAGTAGGGTCTTCCTGCATGTTCTCATACTGCGGTTTGGTCAATGATGGTCATAATTGGGCTCCAGGTTATTAATTTCTGACCTTTTCAGAAACTGCGGGCGGAGCTCCAGTATATCATCTCCAAGAAGAACTGCAACCACCCCATGATAGCCAACTTTTCCTTGACCACCATCAAGCAGAAAACGTACGAAATGTTCGAGGAACCGATTAAGCAGATTCCATGCTTCCTGATGACGGTACGTAGATCTCGACTTCAGTAGAACCCGTCGGCCTGTAGATACAACGGGGGATTTACTACAGACAAACAGACTGTGCACTCTGCAGCTGCACTCCCCAGAGCTTTGTAAATGTGGAGGAGATCTTCTGATTTCCATCATCCAGTTGTGTGCAATAAAAATGGTGGGTTGTTCAGCCAGTTCAGCAGGGACCGACCAAGATTCGATCTATCTTCTATGGGCAGGGTGGTTGTACTGAAGACGATCTCGCGCATGCGCAGTGTGAAGCCGCAAGCTGTCCCAGCCGGGTGTCCACACTAAAGATGCCGACACCGGGGAGAGAAGATGGCCAGTGAAAGCAGGACACTACGGGACCCAGGACAGGTGAGTGG